GTGTTGAGCTGACTTTTCCATTGAATTACATATAGCTTTACTTTCTCATATGATGTTCTCATACAGGTCCTTTATCACCTTAAACGAAATAGGGTGATTTACTGTCAGTCTCGAAGCCCTACTTATAAACGAATAATAAATAATGTTGTCAATTGTCAGAATCATCGACAATCCCCCAAAAGAATGTGATATGCGAAAATGCCTGGCCTTCCTTGAAATGCACATCTCATGTTGTCATGGTTCGGCTCCCGCTGGGTATGTTGATCAGACCTAGGTGACGTCGAAACTGCAATCTATTCTGTATGAGAACACTTTTTGGAAATAAGGCTATGTTTACTTTAACGTTAAAGTCAGCTCTACTCATATAATTGTGGGAAAATTCAACTACCATTCCTTCAAAAACTTTAACTAAATAGTGTGAATACACCTCATATAATTGATTTAATGGTACTCCCGAAACCTTATAAATAAACGAATAATAACTAAGTATTGATGTTTTGATCAAGGGTTATCATTAGCATAGTCAATCAGGCTCATAGGCTAGTGGTCAATGAGCGATTTTCCATACTGACAAAATGCGAGTCATCTAACCAAATAACGTTGTACTTAGTTTATACAAGTATAAGGACAAAGTATTTTTTGTAGAAAAACTTTTTTTTATCAATATTCTCAAATTCATACCTGCCATCGTATCATAGCGATTTTTATTTTTATGTGAAAAGTTGAATTTGCATCAGAATGAACTGCAAGTTTTTTCTCATGCATATATGGCAATGTTTGTCTACCGGATTCCGGTCATACGACCGCCAGCTTCCTTCTATCTATCATCTCTGAAATTCGTTGGAGCTGTACAATTTTCTGCTAACCTTAGATGCTGAGACCAATCAATCGAAGAAGCATCAAAACCATTTATTCTACGATTAAATCTTAAAGGGATCACAAAGATCAAAAAACACAAATATTGTGTCTCAACAATCTCCGGCTACTTGCTGATAAAGCAGGAGATCAACGAATTTCTGCATAAGATGGTTATTGTTCTCTGGCGTAAATATCTGGCATAAAATTGTCCTTTCTAGGCTATAAACCAGTTCTTTCCAATTAATAACTTCTCTATCATGAAACTCTTTCTTGATGGAATACAACAGAGTTTATCTGAGATTAGCTTAGGACGAAATTTCACTCTAACACTCAATCTGCGTGGACTGTAATTTGAGTATGTAGTGATCAAAAAATATTCATCTTTTTCCATTGCTTCTTTTATACAAAAACATGCCATGACTTTCCAAATAGATTTCTTCTTGCCCTTGTGCTATTGGATATTCTTAACTTATATAGTAAGCCCACTACCTTTATAAACCCACAAGTAGGC